AAATCTTTTTTTTTTTTTTGAAAGTCTACCAAAATTGTTTCACTTTCATACTATTACCTACTAACCAATATCGTCCGTTAAAACACGCGATACAAATAAATATATAGTATCTACCAAGATTTTGAATAAAATAAAACACGATATTATTATGTTGTCTCATGAATAAATCACCTGTTTAGATAATATACCTATATTTATATATATAACAGCAGCGCATGCGTTGTGTTCATTATTCAGGTTATCTGCTGCGAGTATTATATTAGGTCGGAGCTCTAAAAACAGCGATAATCTTCCGGTGTTATGTCAACAGCAAATGTGGAGTGTTCAATATCCGTGAGATTTATTCGGTCCAAAAAAAAAATAAAAAAAAAATACAATATGTAATTATATATTACGACCGTATACCATGGTAATATATCTATACAATTCGTTGATATATATATATACATAACCACTGAAGTTTCGTGGAATAGTAGATATATGTATGAAAATAGCCCACATTAAACAACATCGAACCAGTCTTCCAGAGTTGAAACCCAATCATACGCATACAACTTATCATTTTATTATTACGACTCAGGTCATCTGCATACCTAATATATATGTATAACTTGGGTGTACGATTTTATAATAACACGTTTTGTACATTGTACATCATAGAATAGATAGGTACCTACCATCACCGTGTGGGTGTGTGGGTAGTATATTTGGAAAGAAATCGTGACATCCGAAAACCAAAAGCTTTTACAACGGACGTCGGGTTTTCGATGGAATTTGCCTACCTGTTGCCTACATGATACACGTTACTTCGGGTACTACAACTCAGTGATTATACATAGGCACCTCCTAAGTCCTAATATGGACCTTCTGTAAAAATCGATTGGAGCCTCCAAACATCATGTTGCTTTATCTCGAAAGATCGTAATGTGCACGTACTACTCTATCCGTTAAACCTTATAAGGAGGATGAAACGTTTTTCTTTTACTTTTTACAAGTCGTAGGCACGTCTTTTTCGGGACCTACATATTGTCTATTTCACCAGCGGTCTACTTTCACCCGATCGGATATTAATATATAGTCCGGTGGAACGCACATTTCTTACATAATTATTTCACACGCGGTACTCATCCGTATTGTTACCGATATTGCGTCATACAACAATGGACAACAGTACCTATAATGAAAATCATCGGCAGGTGGTTAGAAATTTGGTATTAATCGATCGCAACCCTTCGCACATCGAGTATACCGGCATGTACACTTTCTGCCACGATGCGGCCGTCTTACTGCAGAATGACAATAAGTCATGAGTATAAGAGAGTAGGTGCGATTATAATATTTGGCGCATAGACTTTGCAGAACTTTGCGTTGTTCTCCACGACATCCTATACACATAAATATAATTATAATATGAAGGAATAGTTATTCTTTCAAGTCCATCGATAAACCTTGTTAAAAAAAAACAATATGTAATATGTCGGTACGCCTGTTGTACTTGCACACGTAGTAGACGATAACTTTTAATGGTTACGTTTTGACTGCTTCAGGTATAAGGGGACGAGAAAAATATTATGTAAAAATACCCAATACTATAAAATAAATAAATATACTATAACAGATATTATCTTGTAAGCCTGAAGAATAATGTGAAAACTCCATTACGTATAGCTGGTACATCCACTGAAAAACATTGTTTTATGAAAAAAAAAAAATGTAAACAACTTTTTAGTAATAGTTGAATGACGCAAACGTAAACATGGAATCTGCACTTTCTATATAATATCTATCTATATATATAAATTATACTACAGAGATCAAACATTGATGGATGATATGTGACCTTAAGTTTATACGTAATTTAAAACATTTTAATCATTAGTTTTAATGTAGGATAATTTATCTGGGAATTGTTTTTCTGAGAAATAGGTATACCTATATAAAAATATTATATAATATAATATTTTAAAATATGACTAATCCTAATAATTTAAGGTTTATAAAAAATGTTAGCATAATGCAGATGATGTTGTTATCATGTTATAATAATTTGGATTCAATATTTTACAAATAATTCCAATCGAAGACTATAAAAAATATATTATAAACCAACTAGCATTGATATTTTACCATATTGCCTTCGGCGATTGATTTTTACCCCGAAATCGATTTTAAGCAGTCAAAAATTAAATTCTATAGATTTAACTACCTACTTTAAGCATTTTTCATAAGTTCCTATTCATTTATATTCATTTGTTTTAATGACTTGTATATAAATGCTTTAGGTGCATTTTATATATTAAAATGTAGTAGTTACTTATAATAATTTAATTGTTTTTGTGTTATTAGATATACTAGGTACATACTATTTTTGATTTATGGTTTGAATAAAAACTATGTACCTATGGGTATATAGATTAACTAAAAATCTACTTTAACTCCAGTCGATATTAAATAAATGATTTACTTATGCAATATGTGTACCTAACGAAATACACTAAAACATGTTGCAAAACCATTTATTTGCCCAATTTTTATATTTTATTTAAATTTTTTATGAAATATGAATAATAAATAAGTTTTTCTGGTGGATCTATCAAGTGTATATTATGTACAAGGCAATATTTAACTTGAAATATTAAAATGTTGGGTAATGAATACATTTATAACATAAAAAAACGCCAGTGTTAATGATACATATTAAAATATATTAAAATCTTAATTAAAAGTATTTTTCGAATAATTAAGATTGTTAATCAGATAAAACCACTTATACATAGTTATGCCATAAGAGTGATGAGATAGGTATAATTGATAAAAGGAAAATAAAAATTATAATTAAGGGAAATGAACAATTAATATATTAGTTTTCTGTTTTTATTATATGATAAAATATCCTATTCTTCGGTGAATTATAATATAACTTATGATATTTATGCACTTTTGTATTTTAACATACCTATCTATTATCCATAGTCTATAGAAAATACTCATTTTAACATTTAAAAAATGTTTTTGATATTATAATTCTTTGTTGTTTTTAATTATAAAGTCGTTTATTAACTCCGTGAGTATTTACTTAAAAACTCTCCCCGAATAATTTCCAAGTGTCATTCAATATTTATGTTGCATTTGCTTTCTGTGTGAAATCATTTAAACAGTGGAAAGCGCTTTGAATGTACATTGTACAATGCATATTATACCCATTAAAAATGAACTTTGAATATATTTCACGTTATATTTAATATTTTTTGAGCGGTTTAATGACATTTGATCGCATTATAACAATAATTCACATGGATATTGCATGTAAAGTAATGTCTACTCTCTCAAAAATACAATAAGTTACCTATGTCCGTATATTCCAAGCGTAACCAGGGCCTAAAATATATCTGATTTCAGGGGACACACACTTATTAATTTAACTGTTACCTTTGGGCTTTGACAGATTTTTAAAGCAAAAAAAAACTGTGGGGGTTAAACACCCAAAATACCACCTCTTTTATACAGGGTATAACAGATATAACTGATTTTTGGAATAACTTTTGTACCTAATCAATGTTTAAAAATTTTTTTTTTTTATGTATAATTTATAGTCGCTTGCTCTACACATATATTATACAATAAATTATTTTTATTTTTTAATACTGAAATAAAAAGTTTAAAATTTGATTTAAATATTTTTGGACATATTCAAAATAGCAAATTTGTGAATCTGACTATAAGAACAATTTTGATAGTAAAAACATTTATCTAAGTCAAATAGTTTATTTTTTAGAATTTTTTAAAATATCAATATTTTTATAATACAAATGAATTTCGAACGTAATAACTTTTTTCAAAATTTTTTTTTATGGAATTTGCTGACATGAGTATATTTTTTAAATAATTTCTTAATCTTATAATTTTAACAATTTTTGTCATAAGTTTAAGTACCTAGCGTAATTTCTTTTTTTTCGTCAAGTTTTTCTGTAACTCCTTGCATACCACTTACCTAACACATTAATATTTGACGCATATTTTCCATTCAGGGGACACACTTTGATTTTTAAGGACACAAAGTGTGTCAGGACACAGTATTTTAGCCCCTGAGCGTAACATATCAGTTGTGTAGCTTCTTGTAGTGTAGGTCCTAATATAATAATTAATAAGTAATAACCCTATATTGCGTTTGTTGGGTGATATATAGTGACTATTAGAATTTAGTGTTAATCGATTTGAAATGAGATTATAAGACGAGCATAATGTCTGTTGAATTATTATTTTTTATTTAACATTTCAAAAAGCTATACTAAAGTATAACTATATGACATATAGGACATTAGGACCTATATATATTATATTCCATCACATAAAAGTATTTTCATTTGTCACTAGAAAAAATACATTTGACTTAAATTTAATTTGTATCAATAATTTACAGCACTTAAGCAGTAAACTTGTTGCACATAATGAATTGGAAAATGTTTCAAATGGACCAGAAAATAGTTTATATTTTATAATAATAATATAACACGTTTAATATATAGGTATATGCGTACTACATGTCACACAAGTCTTAGATATTATACGAAATTAATTCTATTAATTTTCCCATGCATATAGGTTATAGGAATGTATATAGTTATATAACGAAGTGTGCGTTTTAAACGAATAATTTTATCGTGGGATTATAACTTGTGCATACTGCTGCAGTGTTATACTTATATACATTATTATTTTTTCTTATGATTTAAGCAGTTACAATCACTTTATATTAGGATATAATGTAATTACTAGTCTGGGAATCTGCAAAGAAGTTTTTAATATTCGTTCCTTTCATTTTCAATCCCTACCAAGCGCGCGAGCCGTGTCCTGCAGGTGGGTGGTGGTTGTATAAAATAGCTGAGCAATTACATACAGTCATCCAATAGTCGGTGTAAGTTCGGTGACTAGTCAGTGAATTCAGTGGTTAATCTTTTCTGTTTATTTTACACACAAGTCAATTTTTTTAAATCTTCAAAATGAACGGTCTTCTTTTGGTAAGTTATTTTTTTTTCGTTTCTATTATATTAATATTAATATTAATATTTTTTTTACCATCGACGACGATACCAGCTATCGCGGAGCAGTAGATAGTCGTTCGGTCGTTTTCCTTTAATATATTCTACAATACCAGTGAATAATATAATAATAAATAATAATAGTATAAAAAATAAAATAAAAAGTGCCGTTTAGCTGCAACAACTCTCCAGACGAAAACCTTTTGGACAAAACCAAATATATTTTTTTAACTTATCTATACTGCGTTAAATATTTTTGTTTATACTTACTATATTATACACTATGCTGCACTGCACAACACGATATGTTATAAAATAATATATGCATTATCATAATAGTCCAGCGTTAAATTCTGTACACCCGTCTCATTGTATATAGAGCTTTCACTGTATGTTTAAACCGTTCTACTATGGATATTTATATTCGTATATATATGCACGCGGCTTAAAACGTAAATCGTTACTAGCTCATAATGTAGTCGTGTCTATATTATAATATTTTTCTACTCGAGCCGAACTAATGGTTTAAGCAGTCTGACAGGCGATGGTGAAGATCAACATTTTTAATATTTCAGTGAATTCTATAAAGACTTTCAGCGATGCTTCACTATATAAATTACATCGATCTGTACGGTCTAAAAACACATTATTTTTTCTATCTCCCACAAAAAATATATTTCTGCTAAAAATAGTTAAAATCAAAAAATTATCTTTTATTTTTGCTGTGAAAACAGTATGAGATTTATTCAAACTAAAATGATTGTGTTTTTTTTTTATCGTTTTAAAGTTAAAATGTTTTCGTTATTTATTTAATATGTAAAAGATACGCGTCATAATATGCTTTGAAATCAAAACTAAACTAATATGAATACATAAGTTTAGCACGTACAATTTATTGACGATCTGATGATTTTAACTCGTCACAAACCCAACTCACCAAAGAACAAATGCTATATCATAATATTATTATGTTGTCTGGTGTTCGATATTATATTGTATTTAATCCATAAACTTTTTATTGCGGGTGTTGCAGTGTTTCGTCGTCGCCACGGTCGCCATTGTCTCCGCTGAGCCACCAAGCAGTTACAGCCGACCATCGTTCGGCGGTGGACACTCGTCCGGCGGTGGACACTCATCCGGTGGATTCGGCGGTTACTCTTCCGGCGGCGGCGGTGGAGGATACTCTTCCGGCGGCAGCGGTGGCGGATACTCGTCCGGCGGTGGCTACTCTTCCGGCGGCAGCGGCTACTCTTCCGGCGGCAGCGGTTACTCTTCCGGCGGTGGCGGATACTCGTCCGGCGGCAGCGGTTACTCGTCCGGTGGCAGCTACGTTCCAGTAGCACCGGGACCATCCACATACGAAGGACAGTACGTCGACGGACAGTTGCTCGAACAGATCAAGCAGATCGTGCTCAGAGACGAAGCCCAGAACTCCGGATCCTCCTCCGGCGGATACCCGTCCTCGTCCTACGGCGCCCCGTCCTCATCCTACGGCGCACCGTCATCGTCCTACGGCGCCCCATCATCGTCCTACGGAGCCCCATCATCGTCCTACGGAGTCCCGTCCCAGTCGTACTCGAGCCGCGTCGTCGGCGTCGAATTGGAACAGGTGAAACCGGCCATCCAAGTCGCCCAATTCCAACAGTCCGGCGGATACTCGTCCGGTGGCGGTGGCGGTTACTCGACCGGCGGTGGCTACTCGTCCGGCCCGTCGTCCTCCTACGGAGCTCCCTCCTCCAGGCCATCGTCGTCCTACGGAGCACCGTCGTCCTCTTACTAATAGCTTTCGGTGCGCAGCAGCTCGGCCCGTCGCTACCAACTCGCACGAAAAACACCACAAACCGCAGCAAACCGCATAACAAATATCCATCATCATCGCATAACGTACACAGACTAGATCCTCCGCTCTTTCGACGCCGCCTTGCCAGACCGCGACGTACATCAGCCTCTACTGCGTGTTATAGTATTATTATTATATGCACTATCGCGATCTGCAGTTCTTCTCGACAACATTCAAATTAAAATTTAATTTAAAATTTTAAATTTAAATCAAACTAAAAAACGCGAGTGTACGATATACATATATATATTGTACGTAATATATATTATTATTATTACCATCGACATCGCGACATGGCGACGCGAAAGAGCACTTATTTTTCGTATTTTTTCTAAACTGTATTTTTTTTTATATTTTTTTTATATTTTGTTGTATATTATATATAATGTTTTTTTTTATCTATTGTTATATACGCGTGTAGTCGAAAGTTAAGCCATATCGAATATTTAGATACTTACATATTATTATGATAAAATATTACAATAGTGAATACTAGACTAAATGTAATATTGTCTGATCATTTTTTTATGTATAAAAACAATACGGCCAAAAGATGATAGATAAAAATTCTATTTTTTTATAAAATATTCTGTTTTTTTATTTATTCTTTTATATTTCTTACATAATGTATTACGATTATAGAGAGAGAGAGAGAAATAGATAGACAGTGAAAGATAGGGAGTTACCGGTGCATCCTTCAATGTGTTTTTCAACACCCCATAACCTCACAGGCATCACTTGGTAAAAATACACATCACTGTTTTGCGAGCTGAGTTATGAGTTTTTGTAAGTACTTAACCGAAATGGTTAAATAGGTCTAATTTATTTGCACTATACAATGATTGATTATACGACTAAGCAAATGATGCAGTGGTATACGTAGAGTCGAGAATAATTTCAAAAGGTATAACAGGTCTGAGCAATGTGCTGTTGCCTGTTACATTATATTGGTTAGATACCAATACCTATTATCGTATTAATCTACCTATATGTAAGTAAAAAAAAAACTCTGTCAGTCCGGTGTAATCGTCTTCAATTTGGATAGTTTTTTCAATCTCTAATCGATATCTTTCGACAAGAACTACGTTTCCAGCGTTTATTATATGATGTTTTAATGACATTGTATAATAAATATACGGCATAAAGCCTATATAAAGCTATGGCCTTTCACATTAATAGTATTCCATGTTATCTCGTTCTAGGTACATGCTGTTGAGGCAACAGGTGTAAAAATGATTATAATTTATCAAATTAGTTAGTGTTTAAAATCGGAGGTGGTTTTCGTGTGAAGTGCGTGGTTCAGATGTAGGTACATATATAGCTACATAATATACGAATATATTTATATTTTATACAGATTAAAATCCTGGGCATTGAATTGAAAACGTTGGCAATTTTTAAAAATTAAATCTCGTTCATTGAAAACTTAAAACATGCAAATATTATTGTGATAAAACGACGAAAACTTCGCGGTCCGCATCGAAATTGGGTTATGGATTACAATATTATAAAACGTTGCTCAACAATAAAGACCCGCCGAAGTGTCCCTAACGCCGCCACACCACGTACTTACATTTGATAGGCACTTGGGTAATGGTTGTATTGTCAGTTGGTACATGTTTGTACCACGAATGTGTATATTATAGAGTCGATTATTATTACCGTTTTGTTGTTATAGCTGCGAACGCGCGGCCAAGGTTTCCTAGCTGGGGACTCGGCCAAAAACAGGACGTAAAATTGAGAAATTCAGACGACGTTTTTATCGCGTGGATACCTACATATAATAATAATAATAATAGGTAAGCACAATCACGTGGTATTCGGTAGCTGATACACGCGCACTCGTGCTATATATATATATGATATCTATACTACATTGACATAAGCGTGGATACCTGTTGCATTCAGTTGTCACAACTATAATATAACAAACACGTCGAAGGCGGATTTTTTAAATTACAAATTAAATTAGGCGGCTGTATACAATATATAGAGGTACCTGATGTATAGAATCGGTACCTATAATGACACGACTACGACGTACAACAGGTGGGCAGTAGGCGCAGACTTAGGCATAGTATACCTACATACGTACACCGGCAGTGCGAATTGTTGCCACACCGGAGTGGTTTTAGCAGCGTTTCTAATCGTTAATAACCAATCTGTTCAACGCGAACACGTGCATAATAATTACGATTACCTATAGCTGATAGTTTATGTGTCTCCTAGGTGTGTATATATATACCACCGCGTCTAAGTAATGTGTGTTACGAAACAAAACTCGCGTATAGTTTCGCGACGGATGCTATTTAACTAATTATTTATAGATTTTTTTTTTACCGATCCGGCCCAATGGTAATAAATTATAGGTATAGGACTCGGATAAACGAGCGCCAGTACGTGGTGGGAAGTACGCTACTACATGGCAAGCTGTTCAAGGTATCGAAAAGGAAAATCAATCAAATAAAAACGAAACAAATCCTTTTTTTTTTTTTTGGCAAAGTAATTTATTTATGAAAAGATGCTAAACGCTTTGACACGCACACATTGTATGACATATACACATATTATAAATATAAATAAGGGTAATTTTTACAATACATCGACCTTAGAAATAACAAGTCGGGCGAAATAATATAAACAACATGATTTCATTGCGAACGAATGGAATTTTTATCATCCCGTAAGACTCTTGACAAGTATGATCAGCAGATTGAAAATTATGAGAGGATCTGAAATAAAATTGTAATCATACACATAAATATAAGATATTAAAAAGTATATTAAATATATACAAGGCAATTTCGTCAATAATATCTAACGCGGCGTATAAAATATAATCAATGATAATACATATATAGTGTTTCGACAAACTTATGTACTTGCAAGAGACCGTATATACGGCGAAATGAAAGTAATTTGTTTTTAAATTTAAAACTGTGGAAATAGTCACGGAAATATTAACCATTTGCATTATATAACAAGTAGTTACGTCTATATTATACTTCAACGCATCTATGACCTAAGGAGTATAATACATTCACAGAATTGTACTCTACCTATACACAACAATATAATATATACATAGTATATATATACGCATACACGTTAATTCACACAAGACTTAATTTTACGATGACCCAATTTGAAGCACTTCTTTCGTCAAATTACAATATTACATTATGATGGCTGTAATAACATATTAACACGATATAGATTTTTATTTTTGATATTTTATTATGGAGATAAACGTCTGCAATCGGGGCTACATTATGTAAAACCGTATACGTATACCGACATACCGTACATTTAATGGAGGCAATTACGTATATAGGTACAGAAAAGTATCGTATTAATTAAAAAATGTTATATACCTAGTGCAATAAATTTTGTTATTAAACCATATTTCCAAGCACCTAATACGATCGTAATCCGGAGCCGCATAACTATCGCTCCGGTATAATGATCGGGTCAACAAACTGAACAAACTCGAAAAGAATAAACAATAACATTCATTTTATTCTACAATAATATTGGGTTAATAGTTGGTATAGGTAGGTATTGACTTAAAATACAGTTTAATTATTGGTAGTAGGTATGTATTGGAAGAACTGGGATACTTCTAAAATATAGGAGTCAATTTAAATACAATATTTTTATAAAAAAATTAACAATTACTGTTTAAATTAATTTTCTTATAACCATATGAAAGTTTAAAAAAATTAAAATTATACGAAGGTACACGGTTAAACTTTTTATGAGTTTATGAGACTAAACAGTTTTTTTAAAAATTAATAATATAATATTTTACTACAAGCTGTGAGCATAAGCATCTAATAAAAAAACATATTTCGATTTAAAACAGAGGTGTTTTACGTCTGGGTACACACACAAGCATAATATTTGTTTATAAAAATTATATTATTAAAATATTATACATAACTTAGGAATATTACTATCATATTATAGTATTCGAATACATATTCTGAATACTTTTTTAAGTATTCGGAAAATGTATTTGAAATACTTTTAAAAAGTATTTTACCCAAGTCTGCTAGAATCGCTATCCGGTGTATGTATAATATAGTCATGTATCGATAAATAACTATGGATTGCCTATACGAAACGCCTTAGTGCTATGTGACGTAAAACTGCCTCATAATATATTGTATAGGCAAAAGGATTGACAATCTATTAGATACCCATCCTATTGTCCTCACTCCTCATCAATCAAAAAAGATATATAAATTATGGTCTTAAAATCTAAGCATTAACACATAAGGGTTTCATTTAGTATGTTATAATAATAGTTGTATTAAATGTGAGATCACTGACAAATTAAAGAACATTATTTTTATACAGTATGAATATTATGTAAGAAAATGAACTATATTTTTTTTAAATATTACGATATTGCGAATTGAATAATATGTATTTTCGGACTTATGACTCCAGCTCGAAATATATGCTCAGACCTTTTGTCCAACATTAAATAAATGAATCAGGATTTTTTCAAACTGTAGTTTTGGTCCCAGAATTTAAGAAATAAGGTCCAGCAAAAATTGATGTCTACTGTTAATAGATATTGACTTTTTATTATTAAGCTAATTATATTAAAAAATAGTAAATATTTATAAATATTTTACTTTTTCAAAATTTAAGTGGACCACATACTTTATTATTAGATTACTGGTAGACAAGACCGCATACTAAATTATAGCCAATTTATCACTTATTCATTCATAAAATCATAACTATTATAACATGTGTTTTGAATTTAAAAACTTTTCACTAGGTACATCAAAGATATAACATCATCAAGTTAATTGTATTTTTTATTTTTATGAGTGAGTTTACACGATTTTAAAATTTATGATCATAAAATGAAGATCTTAAATAAAATATAATGGTAAGCAGAAATTAAAAATATTGTTTTATAGATTCAATTTAAATATCAGTTTTATAATAGTTGGACAACCTTATTTAAATAAATAAAATAAATAGATAGTTATCAGAATAAGACTGTATAAGAAAGGATCAATATACAATTAACAAAAAATGAGTGTAAAAAGATATCTTATTGTATAGAGAATAAAAGCTTTGTAAAGTAAAATATTAAAAACTAAATTATCATGTTAAAAATAATTTAGTACTTAAAATAAAAATGTACCTATACTCTGTTCACAATAAGACCGTGACCCGGCCGCGACCAGTTTTCGTCGGGCGGCGGTCAAACATATGATGAATGCCATCTCCACTACGGCGACGCTTCGGGCTCTGCCACAGACCAAAGCCATGCCCATGCGCACAACTCGGCCACCCGGTCACGGTCTTATTGTGAAAAAAGTATTTGTATAAAATACATTTTTAAAAACACAAGAATTCATAGAATTTAATAAATATTACTGGACATTTCAGGTTTATAGACGGAGTACAATTATTTAAAGAAGTATGATACAGTCGAGTCGCAATAACTCAAAATTGAAGGGGAATAAAGATTTGCTTTAAGGTATAAAGTATTATTTGAGACATATAATACATTTAGTGTTATGAGCATTTTTAGGAGGATAAAAAAAAATTGAGTCGTCAAGTTTTTTGAGTTATCGTAACTCAACTGTAATTTAATGCTAGTGACATTGTACTAAATTACTCTGAACCAATAATATTAGTCTTTGGGGGTAAGTACTTAAGTATGTAGAAGATAAAAAAAAAAAATTTAATATTACTAATTTTATTTGCTTGCTTGTACTTATATACCATACAATAATAATAAATGTAGAACATGTTAAACTATGAACTTTATAAAAACATTGAAAACTTAGGTATATTATAGAAATGAATACTATGAATAGTTCAGCAATACTAAAAAGTTTACTAGTTATTTACTTTTTAATCTGTATACATTTTATAGTAGGTTTTAGGTGGAATAGAGTGTTACAGACTTCAGTGGTTCTTAATTTTTGTGACACATGGATCCCTGTATGATCTTTGAAGCTATGATCCCGAATTTATGAGAACAAATTCCAATAACTTAATTTTTTAATAACATTTGTATATTTTTTTACACAAATGTTTCTTTTTTCATTACAACTAATCCAGAAATATCTATAATAGTTCAATAAAAATAAATAATAATAATAATGCTTATAATATATGCAATATATACTTATACTGTGTACACAATATAATATATACTTACACATATGTACACAATATGTGGAGCCGAATAATGATAATGTATTTTTATGAACCTACCCAGTAAAAATAAATAACAGTACCTATTGGTGGAACAAATGTTTAGAATCATAATGTACCTAATGAAGTTTTCAACGTGTTTTATTCACCTTAAAAACTAGACTTTCGGCTCAGTAGTGAGGCCTTCAGTATACTTACATTTAACAACCGTACGGATAGACTTCATGAGTGACAGTATCTGCGTTTTCGTAGTTGGCATGTCCTCAAACTCTCGGTTCACCGTGGACCAGCCGTCTAAACAAACCAAACGGTGTAAATAACCAATTCCATACCTAATTATATGAGTGCTCAGTGACCGGGTACTTACACTTGGCCAGAACCCTGTCTTCGTTCAGGATGCATATGGCGTTCAGACACAACAGCGAGGCCTCAAGCAAGGTCCACAATGAAAATCCCATGTCTGTCGCACGTCAGTGGCAGCCAGATGATGCTACGCAGACGCGGAAATGACCGGATTACCGGAAATATATTCGAAAATCGAAATACCGTTGTCGAAGTCTGTTGAAAACACGAAATCTGGAATCATGATAACTACTATTTAGGTATAAGAGATGACAGCATCTTCGCCACATGCCCACATGCATATCGTTACGCACGATTTAAGATAGTACTATCACAGTTCTTAAATCATGTTGTTACCACAATACATGTTGGGACGTCATCCACCAAGGATTGTTATCACTAATTTTTGTTGACATTTAAATTAACTTATAATTTATTATTCGAGTAATTAACCATTATTATTTATTACACTGTTGAAGTAAAATAATTTTTAATTATTATTATATAGGTAATCGGTTATCATAATTAATAATACTCGATCATGGAGTATTTAGTACCTATATGTTGTAATTATTTAATTAATTGATTAATCAGATCATCGTGTATGATTACATCTAAGCATAGACTAATTTATAGGTCTATATATACTCTATACAACTAAGGCTTAAGCTGTGGTGAAGTCAACGGCATATAAAAAGTACTAGCCATGACAAAATAGATCTATTATGTCATGCTGATGATGATATATCGTGTTTACAGGTAGTTCCAATTTGTTAATACCTATAAATTGAAATTAAAGTTTTTAATGATGGTAAAAATACTGGCCAATTTATATAGGTACAATATGAATACTTATCAAATACGTTAGAAATTACATGGTCGTTTTGTTTATATTTAACTGCAATAATTCTGACTACCGGTCTTTCCAACAAGGATCTCCAAAATAATTATGTACTTACTAGTCAGTTAGGTACTACTTATCTCAAGAGGACGTAACACTGGCATCTGATGTCTTACAATAAATTACGTAACATAACAAATTAACGCTCAGCAAATCACGTTTAAGTTCGTCAGTTTAAAAATTAGATTGTTTAGACAGTGTGCGAATCGATCTTTTATGAAACATGGTTAATTATAACTTATTATTCATTCATGCGTGAAATCGGGCACGTTATCACACTACGTGTCCGGTCTGTTATCGGCGGAAGCGACGACGGTCGACGAAGCATTTGAAATGAATGGCGGGCAGATTTCTTCCATGCCCGTCCGTCCGTCCAGCTCTTATCGGTATCGCGTTCTAACCTACGTTTGCAGACCAAGTGATAACGACGAAACTACGACGACGACGGATGTCGGGGTCGATAGTCGGTACTTTCGTTTTTGGGTATAACAATTAACAGCTTTGCGTTTACAATTTTACAAGCCTACGGGTATTAATGACGAGAAAATATGATCGACAACGAATGAGCGCCTTTTAATCGCCATCAGTGTATCGTTTCGCTGCGATTTTTATTAATTTTCTCGTCGTCCGAACGCCGGTCGGGCGTGAAGTGCGAGTCGTGTCCGCCGTCGCCGTTTCGACTGCTTCGTATTTGTTTTTGTTCGCGAACAACGGAAATAATATGTGCCCGTCACGCCGCCCGTGTGCGTAGCGTGAGCACGCGCTCGCCCGCTCCTCCGAATCTCCCGACCGGCCCAGTCATCGCCGCTGCACGTGCACCACACACACACTGAGTGAGGCGATGTTGCGACGTTGTTGAGCTCGCCGCATCGTCGAACACTGCGACGGACTTTAACCAGAAGAAATTGCTCCTTAAGGTGGTCGTCCAACGGATACGCTCCTCAAATTAGGTAAATTGCTGTCGGTTGTTTTTCGCCATTCACATACTTCTCTAAGTTGCACCCCGTGTCATATCCGCTTGACAGTCGCGTTTATGCACTGCTGTATTATGAAATATGAAGGATATAGGTATTGTGGTGCATTAGGGGTGGGTGACACACGCCATTGAAAGTCTTTTTCACTATTTGTACCGATCACCTCGTCGCTGTTCCCAATACGATTAACAATGTCGGCCCGGTACAAGGTCTGAGTTTACAGTCCTCCAAACGATATTATGTCTAAAGGTGTTCTATTAGTTTTTGATCCACTGCATTTTATGAAATTCGGCATAATTTTTGTTCTATTATGTACCTATCTGGGGATAATCAATTTTTGTGCATGATATATTGACTTGATTAATTTACCTTTAATAACGACCTATTTTTTTTTTTAGTAATGACTGAAATAAATTGATTTAGTATTATTTATTTTAGTTGAATTTTTTCCTTTGTATACATTTTATAGTAGATAGGTATACCAATATGTCTAGATATAATAAATAATTTATTTTAATACAAATAGTAAGAGTTGTAAATATTTGGCCAATGATGAATAAATATGATTTGAAAAAAAAAACAGGTAGGTAATATGATATTAGTTATATTTTATGTCATTTCTTACTCATCTAGTTTAAGTCTGAGGCAAACAAGTAGTTGATAAATGTAATAAGTACCTACTTGATATATTTAACTTTGTATTTACCTACCTGGGTATATCTATGAGTAAATTTTTGTTTATTAATTATTATATTAACATATATCATTTTTTTTTAGATAAAAATGGAGCCTGAATCAAATGATGTTGAGTTGAAAAGTGTCGTTTCAGATACAAAACGCACTAGGTTTCAAGTAAATTTAGTAGATTGTGAAACTCCTCCAATGCTGCGATTAGATAGTGCTTCATCGGAAGATAAATATAAAAGTTTTCGACAGTTAACACGTGAAGCATTACCAAGATTGGATAATTACAGAAATATTATGTCTGTGCATGTTGCATGCAGACCTACTCTTGATGAACTGCATAATTGTGATTTGGCTGAAAAAGTATGAATATGTTCTTAATTAAAATTACATAACATTTTATAATATATTTATTAATTGTAATAGAACATGGAAGCTCATGAAAATGAACCAAGTAGACCAACAAAGAAGAAACATGAACAAGGATGGATTCAAGGAGTTCTTATCCGTAACCTGGTACAAATATGGGGTCTCATGTTATTTTTAAGAGTAGCATGGGTTGTTTGTACTACTGGTTTAAGTAATATAACTTTATTTTTTTACATTATCATTAATGGAAATTAAAATAAAAAAAAATCAGTTTCAGGAATTGTTATAATATTTTTTGGTGGTGCTATCACAACTATAACGGCCTTATCTATGTCTGCAATTAGTACAAACGGCGTATTGAAGGAAGGTGGAACTTATTTTATGATATCTCGTTCACTTGGCCCAGAATTTGGTGCTTGCATTGGTGTAATCTATTCTATAGCATTGGCTGCCGCATGTGCAATGCATATGGTTGGATTTTGTGAAATGGTGCAGATTATCATGAAGTCGTTTAATTTATTTATACTGGACGGTGAGGTACAAGATATGAGAATTCTTGGAATATGTTTAACAGCTGCATTGTTATGTGCAACATTAGGTGGCATTCGGTCACGCATTCAGGTTAATAAATACATTGTTACTTAAATATATGTATTATTAATCTACCATTTTTTTGATTGTTTAAATATTTAGGTGCATGCAGCTGTTCTAGTTCTTATAATTGCAGCAATTTTAGATGTATTTATAGGAGCTATTTATGGGCCAAAGACTGAGTCTGAAAAAAACGAAGGTTTCATTGGTTTTAGCTGTAAGAAAAATTAATAATAGTATAAACCTAGTATAGTTTTATTACTTCATAACCAAAAATATATTATTATTTTTTTAGGGGTCGCAATTAATTATAACATGTTTAAGAATTTTGAAACTTTTGATGATTGGTGTAAAAGTTTCTGGTATGGGTTTAGTATATTCTTTCCAGCAGTATCTGGGTTTTTAGCTGGAACAAATAAATCAGGCGAATTAAAGGTAATTTAAATTGTTGTATTTTGTTTGAAATCTTAAAATGTTATATACAAGATCATATTTTATTTAAATATAAAATAACTGAATATTTGTATGTATCTATACTCAGTCTCAGAAAAAGTGCAATATACTGATAATAAAAACATGCACAAAAATACAAAAATATTTGACAATGGCATCATCAATCGACTTTAAGTGAATTAACTATTTTAGAATATTCAACCAACCATTATTTTATCATTGTACTTACCTAAACTTTATTAAATAATAGTTATGAAGTTCAGTGTAGTTAGTTTTAACCCATTACCACTCGCACAGAGTAAATATTCACCTCAGATAAACTAAAATGCACTTTTAAAATTAACATAATATTATTATGTCTATAACTTTTAGTACCTTCTAATAACATATGGGTATATATTTCTTGTTATTATTGTTATTATCATTTTTTTTCTATATATTTTGATATATAAAACAGTGGGGTAAATTTTTACCTCTAGCGAGGGTATGTGGCATCAAAAACCACGCGATTGGTAACTGGTTAATATAAGAACTATTAGTAACCACTTTTGAGACAGAGTATGATTTAGTCATTATAGCAGAAATAAATCTTTATACTAATTTTTTGATTTTTATTTGCTATCTAGGATTCGTTAAGAGCAATACCAAGAGGTTCCTTAACATCTATTTTTATTTCTTCTTCCATTTATATTAGTATAGCAATTTTGGTTGGTTCAACATTTGTAGATCAAGATCCATATTATAAATCTAATTTTGATGATAATAATAAACACTATGTAAGTTTTTAGGCCTATATAATAGTAAAATATTTTTTAAAATGTATTGTTTATTTTATTTTGATAACAATTTTTAGGCAGTCAATCGGACTATTGGACTTATAGCATTTTTTAGCCCATTAGTATACGCATGTATCTTGGCCTCAACATTAACAGCCTCATTTTCTTCATTTTTAGCTGCTCCAAAAGTATTTCAAATGTTATGCAATGATAGACTTTACAATAATCTTACATGGTTTGGATTTAGTAATAAATCAGGAGAGCCAATAAGAGCTGATATTTTGACTACAATAATTGTTTTGCTGTTTATACTTCCTGGTACTATAAATTATAAAATTTGTGTATTCAATTATCGTTAATAACAATGC